ATGTCCTCATCAGTGCGTCACGTCAGAACAACGAGGGGCCATTATTTTGGATCACATATTCGTCCCTCATAGAAGATATGAAGAGAAAGAGCAAAACAAGTGCATGAGAAAACCTGCGACTCATTTGGTTTATGGGCGTCCAGTGCGGAAGACCATAACAGCTCTTTTGAACAAGCTCCGATCCTCGGAGGAGAGCGAGGTAGGGTAGGTCTAATGTGTGGCTAATATGTCTCTGTTGCTCGATTCCATTGACATCCACGGGGTTCAGGTCAGGATAACGTGCATGGTGCGTCATGAAAACGAGGTGCCTTTGACAATGTGCTCATGAGCATCTTTTTAAAAAGAACATGGAAAGCAACTGACTTGGCTTCGTGGCGTCCTTGGAGCCAACAAAGATTATTTCCGATCCTCGGAGAAGAAGCACATGGCACATGGTCGTTTCGAGGAAACCCCTGTGCACATCATGTGCTCTTCATCGAGTGCTTCTCGTAAAATGTATCTTGAGCACATAAAGATCAAGGAGCGTCGATTTTAAACTGGTTTGAGGCATGATGATTGATGGGCGTCCGAGTCGGAGGCCCATAAACATGAGTACTGAACAATCACCGATCCTCGGAGGAGAGGTCGTGGCACGTGGTCGTTCCAGGAACCCACGCAACTGCAGATGGTGTATGCTTCGCCACGAGCTTTTCGTCAAATGACTGCTCGACCACAGAGAGCTACGTTCAACCCTTTAAACAATGTACACCTAAACGGATATTTTTATTCAGCCAACTACAGTACCACTCACATGCGAAGGCAGCTTTTACTGCTCCACTTGACAGGCGAAAAACGGCAATCGCCCAATCGTTTGCGGTTTATGCGGGCTTACTTTTTAAACGTCTTCAGTAACGGCAACGATCACGCGATTGTCAGCGGGTTGGGCCAAATTGTGCGTCTTACTGAAGCGGCCAGGGCTCGGTTTCTGCCTCTACGCGCTATGCGTATACAATTGAAATGCAACGAGCAGACGTCAACTAGAAAAGCCTAAGCATGTTACGAACACGTATGACGTATTCAGCATTCCTGACATCGGGCGCGAAGACGTCTTCGGCTTCTGGTCTCATTTTACACTTGAAGTGCCCTCACGAGAGGAAAATAAGGGATGCATTATGACAGCTTTATCAATTTATAAATACCTTGTACACTTTGGTAAAGAAATAGTACATGAAATGAGTCCCCTCAAGTTGATAAAATCTGTCGATGGGCGACGTGGTCGACACTGACGAAGTCGAAAGTATAAATAAAATATACATCATAATAGACGCCTATGAAAAGTCTCACGATGCGCGCTTGGCACGATGCTTGTGAGTCGCATACGTGTTTAAAATGTCGTATCGCAATGACACAACACTTTCCCGGGATCGTCCCTCAACCTCCTATGAGCTCGCTGCTAACTTGCTATGGGGGTGATCGGACCGCTTTTACAACCTTAACGCCACCGCCCCAACGACTTAGCGAGTCCGACCTCTTACAACGGGCTTTGGTTTCTGTCTCCCTGCCTGAGCTATACATCTATTTTTCATATGGAAAGCAGATAAAAATGAAATGAGATTTTCTGAAGCATGTTCTCCTTAGCTTAAATTGATCTCGCAGAGCATTTTAAGAGACTTGTAAAAGTTGGCTTAAGCCAAATATGCAAACCATATTATTTTTTTTTGCTGCTTCACAGCACTTTCTTTATGACTGGACTATAGGTACAGGTTGTTTCGATATAGAGTATAGAAGCTGATCTATTTTCCTTGCCACTCACTGGAATCTCGACAGAATTCCACCGTAACGTTATACTTATCTATTCTGCATATTGAAGGCTTTCCATTCATTTTTGTTTAAATTAGGAAAGCGCACATGAAGTCGTTACCTTCGTTCACGTGAGTGTCGTCTATGAAGAGTTGATTTGTCAAATGAGGACTAGATGAACACCTTCAGGACAATGCTTGGTTCGATAAAAGTTTAATGGAACTCGTAAGCAATTGAAAGAGCATGAAATTCTATAGCTTTGCACATTTCTTGGGGAGTTTTCGTTACCCGAAAAATGAGTACTTTCCGCTCCCAACCGAGATGATTAGCGAGCTTTCACCCGAGTTAAAAGTTAGGCTTTCTACAGGCATGAAGCATTGGAGATCTACCTTGACGACTTCGCTTCAATTGGTAAATGTTCTGCGTTTTGGAGATAGCGGGTCTTATCAGCGACTTAAAGAACATGAAATCCTTTGGCATTATGAAATTATAGAACCCTTTGCTTATCCGAATACGCATGTTCCCCGCTCACAACCGACGTCCTCAGTCCCGTTTCGAAAGTCAGGCTATCTATATGCGTAAAGTTCATATGATTCACTTTCACGTGTCTATCTGAAAGAGTAAAAGTCCTGTGGAGAGGGTATAATCAAGCTCGTTTGCAGCCTCAAGAACATGAATCCGTACGGCAAAATGCATTCCTGCTGAGCATTTCCTTACCCGAAACACGCATAGTTCCCGCTCACAACCGACATGTGCAGGTACTCTTCACCCAGATAAAAAATCAAGCTGTCTACTTGTGCAAAGGTAGTCAGATCCACTTTCAACCCTAACAGTGTTTGCAGTCCGCCCGTGAGCGGGCCTAACCCTAACAAATTTGGAACAACCGCAGGAACTCGGCTGGTAAGCCCTCTCCTTCGATGTTCAGTCCTTTCAGCTTTAAGCAATACGAGTCATAAGAAGGTTGGAAGAATGACTGCGAGAAGTGTAGTATTTCTTGCGATGGAGTTAGGAAAGCACATAATGAAGGAGACGAGGGCGGACGAAGGGAGTGAGTGAGTGGGAAGCGAGGACGTGCTGTCCTTCCAGCATTACGCGATAGAAGTCACGAGGTGAAAAAAGGAAAGATGAGGGAAGAATGTTCTTTGCTGCGACGGAGAAAATGGCAAAACGAAACATGGAATTGCGGAGAAAGGGAGGAAAGAGTGTAGTAGGCCAGCTGAGCGGCTTATGCATTGATAGTCTCTAATAATGTCAGAATTTGGACGTTTGAGAAGGAAAGTCTTCATAAAGTACACCTGCAAGAGAAGGAGTGAAGCCGGCAAAGAGAACGTAGTCAAAGAGGAACAACTAAAATAGGAGGGAAAAAAACAGGTGAGAAGGGTACGTGTCCTACTCATATCATTTTCCCGGACGACGGTTCATCACGTCACATCCCTCTCGTGCATGCTGGGTTCTACCCAATTTTGCTAGTCTTTTTAGCTCTGCTGAGATGCTCGAGATATCTGTTACCTGGAGCTTAGCACACACACGTTCAAACTACACTCACACAGACTCACATTCACATTATACGCACTATACGCAATGACGCATTACCCATACCCCTCTAATCTGTGAAAAGTATCACCGCGAAGCCTTATTTCAAAACAATTGTCTTTTCCTTCCCTCCTTCTTCCTTCTCTCTTGTCCCTCGCCGACAATACTGCCCTTCTCTCAGTCTTGGCTCCTCCTCCGTTATTTTGAAATTGGGAATGATGAGCTCTTCGGGTAACACAGCGATAGATTGGCCGCTGAGAAGGGGAGAAGGAGAAGGAAATTCGGGAAGGTGAGGACGGAAGGGAGAGGACGGCTGTGAAGTGCCTTATGAAGGTACTTCGGACCATGGTTAGGCCTCGGACCCGTTACAATTTCGTTTTTTCCCTTCCTGTCTCCCTCCCTCCCTACTTCTCTTACGGTCAGTGTTGAGCAGAGCACTAAGATTTGAATATTTAGAACCTGGGGCAAGGAAGTCTCGACACGTCGACAATGTCTTGGAGAGAGGATGAAGGGGGGGAAAGAGCAAAGGGGGGGGGGTAGAAGAGGAGAAGAAAAGGGGGGAAAAGGGTAAAGAGGACGGGTAGAAGTGGACGAAAATGGGTATATTAAATTATATGTTGGCCATCTCCTTTCATTTTCCCTGGCCTGTAGAGCCTGATTACAATGTCCACCACCTCTCCCCCTCGCTCATTTTCCTTCCTCCTTCCCTCCTTCCCTCCTTCCCTCCTTCCCTCCTTCCCTCCTTCCATCCTTCCCTCACTGCCTCGACATACACAATCACCGTACACTCCGATCTAATTGACGATATCTAGCGACACAAGATCAGACCTAGCAATTGAGAAAAAAAGGGAGGGAAGGCGACCGACACCAAGATGAAAAACATTATGGAAAGAGGCAGACACCAAGATCAGAAAAGAAATGGAAGTAGACAGATACCAAGATAGCAGAGGAGAGGAGGCATTGAAGGAAGCAGACGCCAATATAAGGTGAGATCAACCTGACCCGCGAAATAAGTCACGCACAAGCAAGGAGAGACGGAAGGAGGAAGAGGAGGCAGGGCTGGGAAAGAAAATCGAGGATGTGTAAAAAGGACAAGGAGGAAGAAACGGATCGTAAAGGACAAGGGAGAAGGAACGGATCAATAGAGAGAAGAAAAGAGGCCCTCGCTTCCTCTTTCCTTCCTTTCCTGGCTCCTTGTCTCGTTTCCTACCTTTCAGATCCTTGAAGTCATTGCTCGACTTGACCTCCCCCACCTCAACTTTGTCGCCCGTGTCGTCCGAGTGCTGGCGACTTTCAGTTGGAAAGAGGCATGCCAGACTTGCCTTTAGTGCTTAACAATATCAATTGCTCCGAGCTCATACGGGTGATTGACCGACTGTGTGAGATAGGACTGACATGACTTTGGTGGTGTAGATGGCCCTATAACTTCAAGTTCGTGACGATGAGAGGATCGAGACGTGATGTTAAAGCAACGTCAAGGGGCGGTTGAGGAAGAGACGAAATCCAATGAAGGAGAAAAATGAAATTCTGCCGCACACATAGTTTGTCCAGCGTCGCCTGCCTTTTTACGTGTAAAGGTAGGATTTAGGTGCCTTAAGACGACCTAATGGGGAGCGATTGCCTTTCAATGCATTTCATAAGGTTCTCTTTCCCGCTCCGAAAAGACAGGGTAAATCGCTGCGTTTCTGATGTCTCATCAGAATGTCACTCCTTCCTCGCTTCAGCTCTTCGAGCATGCCTGGCAAGCTTATCGCAAGCTTGTGGACAATGATTACATGGAGCATTCGGCGCTTACCACCGCCATTGCCCTCATTCTCCCCACCCTTCTCCCTTCTCCTTGTCCCGTGACGGGTAAAAAGGGGGCTTGGATGGCCGATCTGGGCTGTGGCGATCTTGGTCTGTTGGCGCCCATGTTGCGGCCATTGCCGCTTGCAGGTTTTATTGGCGTAGACGCCACGGCTGAAGTCCTTCCATTGGCAGCACGGCGGTTGAATGCGAGGGCAGAAAGTCTGCAAGCGCGACCTCCTTGGCCATGCGAGTGGGTGTGCGCAGACTTGCTGGAGTGGAGTGAGAAAAGAAGAGACGTGATGCGTGGGATTTCGGGAGGCGTAGGGGACGCACCAGGGCGGGTGAGCTTCTTGCTCACTAAAGAGGAGGATGGAAGAACCGGTCACAGGCACGTCGAGGGCAAGGCGGAGGGGAGGGAAACTGTCGCGGAGGAAGACGGGTGTGCAGTCAGGAAGGATGCGGGGGGAGAATGCAGTGGATTACCTCTTTCTCCTGTTCCGAGATACCTGAACGTGGTGAGCTCCTTGTTCGCGCTCCACCACCTGTCGGACTCCGGGAAGCAGAGGGCCCTGACCGCCCTGCGTGCCTGTGTGGCGCCTGGGGGGAGCATGCTGGTAGCCGACATTTTCAGACAGGATGGGGAGGGGCGGGAGCTTTACTTAGAGAGATATGAGGCGCGGAGCAGGGAGTGGACGGCGCTGACAGAGGAGGAGCGGGGGTTGATCACCGAGCACGTGAGAAGCAGCGACTTTCCGAGTGAACGGTCGGCCTTTGAGCGCATGGCCAAGGAGGCAGGATGGGCACAGGTACGCTGGCTGTGGGAAGCGAGCCACGCGGCGGAAGCGCTGGTCCTGTTGCAGTGCTAGGTCGTGGGGAAAGGGTGCCGGCGGTGGGGAGGCGGGGCTGGGAGGAGCGTGGACAGGGATCGATTGGGCGGGCCGGGGGAAGGAGGTTTTGAGGGAGGGGAGAATGCATTGAGAAAAAGCGAATGGAGAACAGGGGGGAGGGCGCTATTGGGGTCGGGAGGGACTGGAATGGAAAAACCAGGGTGGCCGCTCGCACAGAAAACGTCACATGGCACTTTCTGGCCTCGTCTGTTGCTTTTTCAAGGGTCCTTTAAATCCTTTGTCAATCCCTACCGAGTCCACCACGCTATCCCTCGGTATGCCTGCTCTTTCGTTCCAATTTGGTCCCATCAAGATCACCACAAGGAGGGCTGACGCTCGCCCTGCCAACACGAGCACCCCTCCCCTCCCTGCGCCCTTCCTCTCATCTTGAGGCCTCCATAGCCCACCTTCTACCTATCCACCCTTTCCCCCCCTCTATTTTTCATCTTGCTATGTACAGGTGGCATTACTCCTCACCCCATCTTCCCTCCACTCGTACGCCGCGCGTCTTCCCCCCTTCCCCATCCCACGGCATCCTCAGGTAGCCAACCAACTCTCCGAACAGATCATCCGGCAGCGCCTCCACCGCCATGCGGGCCACTCTACAACACCGCTCCAGCACCATTTCTTCCCCTTTTTCTCCCATTTCCCCGCCCCCCTCTCCCCCTCCCTCCAAGGCTTTCCATTCATTTTTGTTTA